TTCCAGGCAGATGGAACAGCATGTGCAAGGCACAGCAGGCTGACAGCGATGCAGTGCAGGGAAGGTGGCCCTGCGGGGTGAGAGGGCAGCACATGAGGCTGGAGAACCACAAGCAGTCAGGAGGGGCCCTGGATGCACTTCTTGGCAGGGGAGAACCATGGAAGGGCTTGGGAGCCAACCAACCCAGGAGATGGCACACCAGTCAGGACTGGAATTCCAAGCTTCCCCTGAGAATGGGCACAGCAATTTCTTTCCTGTTCCCTGTCACGTTAGGCCTTCCTGAAGGCACAGGGTGAGGGCCCAAGTCTGGGAGGGAAGGTGCACAGGGGAGAAGGGCCTTTGTCCAAGCCAAGTGCAGGTCCAAGTGGGCACACAGGCCACACCCCAAAGAGACATACACAGGTTGAGTGGAAAAGAGCACATTGAAGGTCTCCGAAAGGCTGACACTAATAGCATAAGGGTGAACCACCTCTGCTCCCACCACAGGGCCCCATGCCGTGCGGGTCACACAGCAGGCATCACTGGGTCCTCTGAAACAGAAGAGCAGCCCTGCACGCAGCTGGCCTGCCCCCAAAGCCCTGACCTGGTTGCCTCTGTGTCCCCCAATCGCCCCCACAGCACTGGGACAGAAAGCACTGCTGCTTTCCCAGCAATTCCATCCTGGGCAGGGATGTTCCCCAGGAGTTCTGGCCTTAACTAACTCCAAACACTCGGGTTCTCAGGTCTGGCGGACACAAATAAGTAAGACAACTCTTCTCCCAATAGGACAACCTCCACACCAAGTTCTCTGCCACTCAAAGCCACCTGGAGACTGGGGTTTCTGAGAAATAAATTTGTGCTCACCATCAGCTTCAGATCATTATGTCACCAAACCCCCCACACAGATGGGAAAGAGAGAGAAAACAGATCAGCAAGAGAGTGGCAAGCCCAGGGGAGAGGAAGGTGTGGTTCACTTAACTCTGAGTGAGCCCTCCAGGGCAGTCTGCTGAGAAGTGCCTCCCCAGCCAGGATCCCTGCTACCACAAGCATTTAAGCTGCTTTTAAAAATACTTGACAGTCTAATTTGCAAAGAAAAATTTTTGAGTATGGAGACATATCTCCTACTATGTATCAAAGTAACTTGCCCGAGGGTTTTAGCTTGTTTTAGCTTACCTCCTAAAAAGCTTCTTGACCCTCCCTCTACAACCACCTTCCTGCCCCTAACACTGACACAGCACTCATCCTCTTCAACCAGGAAAGACTAATTCAGGAGCAACTGCAGAGAGGTCTAGGAACTGGAGATAAAGGGCAGGGCAGGTGTATGGCCACATCCCCAGGCAGGGAAAGGAGCTGGGAGGTGACTGCTCAGCAGCGGTGGCCCACAAGCCCTGTGCCCTCTCTAGATCTCAGAGCACTTTCAAATTCAAGCATAATAATAGCCTTTACTTGCAAAAACAAAGCCATGATTTGCAGTCCCCTGGAGACTTGCCTCCTAGAGGGTGAGGCCTGAGATCTGCGCCAGCAGAGGAGACTTTGTTTTATGTGCTGAAAATAGTGACTAAATAAATGAATTATTAAATGAATCAATGAACAAACTGTCTACCTGGCACCAAGCTACAAGCTTACACTCAATCCCCTAAGCCTTATGACAAATGCATGAGATAGGGTTTGTTACCCCCATCTGACAGATGAGAAAGAGTGAGGCACAAAGAAATTGAGCAACGTTGCCACTGTCTGAGATGCAAAGCATGGATGCAGACTGGCCTCGCTAACATCAAAGTCAGTCCCCTCCACTGTCCCAACAGAAACCAGAGTCCTGGCTCCCAGATGGAGCACGGATGGAGGAAAATGTCCCACCAGGAGGACAGGTGTGACAGAGGCAAAGGGAGGAGTGAACACAAAAAAAGAAGCAAAGTCATTAGCTGCAGATCTCCAGTGAAACACCCACTGTGCCTCCTGCCAGTAGGTGACAAATGGGACCCAGAATTAGCCCCTGCCAGCCGGGCTGCAAGGAAGAAACTGGAAGAAGGCTAGTCAGTGAAAATGTTTCCATGTCTTCCCCAGCAGAGAAGCTTGGCTGCATAATTAAATAGAGATATTCCTTCTGGGAAAAAGAACAAATGCAAATTCTTCTTGCTGGGTTTCTCCAGCCCTTTTCAAAGCCGGGAGTGTAGCCCTCGTAAGTTTCCCTCCCCACATTCCAGAACGTGTACTGTGGCCCATGAACCATGTTCAGCCCACCTCAGGAACCTTCACTAACAGGGCCCTTGAGCCTCTCTCCAAAGCACACTAATCTCCAGGAACCTGGGATTTTAGGCTTGTTGGCTAAGGAACTAGTCACTGTTGATAAAAGTTCCTCCTAACACCTGAGATGCACACTGGCTCTGTTTTGTCAACCATGGAAAGAAAACATGTTGGTAAAAAGAAAACAGAACATGCCATATGGAAGTTCACACTGTACATGCTTTCATTTGTAACTATGCCAACATCCCATGAGATGGGGACAAAGTGAGAAACCATTTGTATCACCTGAAGAAAGCGAGCCACAGCACTCAGATACACTTGTTCCAAACTCCTCTGTGTGAATGCCCAAGAAGGTAGACAAAGACAAAGCTGTTTCAGAGTAGCTGGCCACAGTAAGCATTCTGGTACCTGTGACCAATGAAGCCATTGAGTGAATGACAGGGTAGTTGTGAAGAAATTAGCTGGATACAGAGGCAGAACTGAGAGTGAGGTGAAAGACGTAGGGAGTAAAATGAGATGGCACAACATTTGTTTACTCGGGATCTCTGGCGAAAAGAGCAAAGAAAACGATACGATGTTTGAAGAAGCACTGGCTGAGGATTTCTAGCATTGATAAAAGCACAGATTCACAAGCACAGAAGGAAAACTTACACCAAGGGACAAAGGTGTGTCCACACCTAACACATCTGCACAGAACTGTGATGACGAAGACAATGTTAGCAGTCAGAACAGGCCGACATGGAAGGGACGACCACTGTGCAGGCATCACACTTCACAACCACAGGAGCCACAGACAGGAAGAACACCCTACCTGTTGCAAAAGGTGGGGGGAAAGGTCCTCTTGAGAGGTTTTAAATGATCCTTCAAGAATGAGGGTGAGATAAGAGACATTTTCAGGTAAACAAAACCACTTTATCACCAATAGACCTTCTAACACTGTTCTTGAGGGATGTGCATCAGGTGGAAAGAGTGGGACCAGGAAGGAGGGTCTGCCATGCAGCAGGGAATGAAGAGCACCTGCACTGGGACACCACAGGACTGGAGATGACCGGAGCACTGCAGGTTCTGAGGACTGTGCACTACAGGAGAACTGGATGTTTGTTAACACCTGACATTAGGATTGTTAGTGTAGGCAGCTAGCTCGATATTAACAAAACAGAAGGGAACAAAACTGGCTAAGCCTAAGCCTGATTAAGTCTCGAAGTTACTGCGTCAGACACCACAGGTGAAAGCCAAACCCCCATTAAGGGGATTCACTTCCCTCTTTCCCCCAGGTAGGAAGGAAGAACAGGCTTTCCCATCTCCCCAGAGGGCAACCAGTCCACTTGCCTGGACTATGGGGAGGAATAAACAATAAAGGGGGAACTCCTATGCACTGTAGAAACCAAAACCGTGCAGGGATGAGGCAAAACTTTGAGGCATGGGCAGTAGGAGCCAAATAGCAACATAAATGGGCAGAGTCTAGCCTGGAAAAATCTGAGGAAAGGATTGTATTGGATAAGGGGGAGGGCCCAATATAAGCCTATGAAGGATCAAGAAAAAGATTGGTTAGTTTGAAAGAAAGCCTATTCTCTCCCAATCCTGAGGTAATATAATCAAAGCTTAACAAAGGCCCCGCTCAGTAGCACGTATCCGTTCCTCCATTGGTTTGCCTGCATTCTCTCTTAGTAGCAGCCATGAGGCTCTAAGTGCAGGTCCAAGTTGGGTCCAAGCATGGGTGTGGCAGCGCAGCTCCAGCTGGAGTGCAGCCAGGAACAGCTAGCCAGATGGGAGCAGAGACTATACTGGACTACTGGAGCCCCAGGTGATGGAATCACAGTTCTGTATCCTGAGCCTCCTGGTGGGCACTTACGCTCACCAGGCCCAGGACTTCTTCCGGAGTGAGAACGGAGCTGAGCCACCTGGTCATGGATGACACATTGGGCAGCTGGGGGCAGTCCTTTGTTACTGCTCCAATAAATCTTACTAGTACACCTCATTCTCGTATGTATGGGTCCCTGAAATATTTTTCTCATGACACCATGGAAGAACCCTATTTCCACGGCAACAGGATGATGCACTTGTCACAATAATGAACCAACAGTGATATATTATCATTAGCTAAAGACCATACTCCATGTAGGTTTCTGAGTTTTCCCTCTGTGTGCTCCAGGAGCCCACCTGACATTCAGTGGTCATGTCTCCTCTGGCTCCTCTGGGCTGTACTGGTCAGCTATTTTGTGGAATGTCCCTCAGTTGGATTTGTCTGATGTTTTTTTCATAGGGTTTTATGTTTTCAGAAAAAAACACCCCAGAGGTGAAGTGCCCTTCTCCTTACACTATACCAAAGGAGTACACCTATCAACACGACTTTCAAAAACTGGAATGAATATGAAAATACTAGGCGCCAGCACCTGTTGGATATGCCTCACACTGGATTTCAAGGCAATGTGCAGCCTATATAGGAGAAAGGCTGAGGACTAATGGGCTGCAATTCAACCTCAGAAGTTAGGAATGATACCAGATGACAGCAAAATAAAGTAGAAGAGC